TATATTTTATTAAAATTAAATAATTTGTAATAATGATGTTTAATATGTCAGTTTAGAAGAGAGCTAAAGGATGTTATAGAATTGTTAATTTAAGGATAATATAATTTAAGACAGAATATAATTATTGTATTGTAAACCCTGTGTGTAGCTCTGGGAAGTCGGGGGGAAGGGAGGGGGTGGGGAAGGGTGGGGTATGAGGTAGGTGGGGAGTTATATTGTTAAAATTTTAAAAATTTTCAATAAAAAAAAAAAGATATAACTAGAATTAAGTTTTTTTTTTAAATGAAAGAGATTTTGATTATTTATACTAGAGTTGATCTTTATATGATTATTACACTTTTATTTATTTAGAAAAATTTATATGGCTGCCCACTCACTTTCAGTGACTCTAGGCAGTTTACAAAAAAAATAATTAGTTTTCATTATGTATAAAGGTGCTTTCAAATAAAATTGATACTGAGATTTTTGCTAAGAATGCAAACATCATGGCTATTTGTCTCCTACGGATGTCAGGGATAAAGTATAATCCAACTAATGTGTATAGGAAAGAACTATAATAAAAGAAGGCTAGTCTGGGAACCAAATAAGCTGACTTTTCACTTAATATTCCATTGAATCACATCATCAAATCAAAAATCCAACTTTAATTATTCATGTTTAGAAGGCAAGTAAGGTCCTAATTAGGTGATTGTACTTTAGCAAGTGTTACCATCCGCTCATATAGGGATTTTATCCTGGAACAATCCACAACATTCCAAACATTTTGTCTTGCCTGAAAAATATATTTACTGGATATAAAACTTTAGATCTGTAAAAGTAAGTCACAATGCAGTATCAATATCAAACAAACAGAACCTCCAGAATAAATGCTTAATTTGACTATTATAATTATTATCTGTCATGAAATGGATGGCAGCATTTCCAATCTTGGTGCTTCTATTCATTGCACATATCTGGAAGTTCCCAATTTTAAGAATATGGGCCACTTATAATTTTTTAATAGAATAGGCAATAGAACTTACAGAATTTATAAAAGTAATATAAAATAACCACTATGGTAATATATTTTGGAAGAAACATAGGATCCATTTATGCAGCATTAATAGGAATAGCAGCTGGATCCAAAGACATAGAGCTGCATCCTCTACATGAAGTCCAACAGATGGCATGTATTATTAAGTAATATTTTAGTATTTTATGGATGAGTTGCACAAAGCCATGAATGTACCTACTAGTCTATGTGTCTGGACTAGACATGAAAAGATGCCAAATTTTTGGTTCAGGTTATTCTCTGAGGTTAATCTCAATAAAATAATTTATAAACCACAGTTGAAGTTAGCTTCTTTCCTCTAATTACAGTTGAAATTAAATACAAATTGTATTTAATTAAATATAAATTGTATACAAATCTGTACTAAGGCACTGTTAATCAACAATAGACACAAAAGTACCTGCTGTATCCTTCACATATTGCTTTGAAGAAAGATGGTCAAGATCTAACCCAGGTTTGGTTTCTACGCTTAATTACTCTATCTGATGCCTGTTAGATGTGCCAAAATGACTCTCTGTGAATTCTAGAGACTGCAATAGAAACTTGTTTGGACAATGCCATGTTGGAAAATGCTGGTTTAACATTATTTAAGCCAAATCTTTATTTCTTCTCCTAGCATCATATTTTTTTTTTGAAGCACTAATATTGTATTTAATACCTATAAAAGTTTTGTGGATATGGAGACACAGAAGCACAGAATAATATAATCTGTTTCTGTCTTCCTAACTACTGAAAATGATTCATGTGTGCAACAGGCAACATCACTTTTCCCCAATGCTTCTGAAAGTATAGTACTCTTGCAGAAAACTGTACAGCAATCTCCATTCTAGGAGAGTGTTATTTCTACACCAGGATTCCATAGATAGGTTCATTTAACTTTTAATACATATCTTACCTCTATTAGAGACCCCATGTTTACTATGGATCAATCAACCAAATAACATGAAGATATTTTATCATACATTAGAATTTTATATGCCGCTCCCATGAAAAACAAGTCTATAAATACAATCCTGAGACAATTAAATAATTTACTTTAAAGAATAAGCAACATTTTAGGAAGAGGATCTGCAGGAGTGGCATCTAAACGTACCAAGCTCCCCTGCAGCCTTGATGTCAATGTTGTCATAACCACTGCCTATCCGAACAATGACTCGTAAGGCCTTGAACTTCTCTAGGTCGTCCCGGGTGAGAGTGATAGTGTGGTACATCATTGCTCCAACAGCTTCATTTAAAACCTAAAAGACAAACACATAAAGTGGGAAATCACAGACATACTGGAGCAGACAAATCTACTCTGGAATAGTAGCTGAAGTCCAAATGTTGAATCATATTCAAATATCTATCAAGGCACATGGTTCAATCAGATAAAAATGCTAAAAAAAAGTCCAGAATAATAGCAGTAATTCTAAAACTTTTCATCCAATATTTTCGTATCAGATTCTTCATTCTGAAGTGTTTATCTTAATTTCAGACTATGAATGAAAGCCTGGATAAAAAGATCATCTGAGTAAACAGTAATCATAAACAATGAGAATCTGTATATATGTGTGTCCTTTACCTCCTCACCTATGCAGTCTTCCATGCTACCATTAAATCATAAACTGAGTCATGATATATTCCCAAGTAATCATATATTAATACATGCATTTATATAAAGCTCAAATAATTTCAGAATTTATGTAGGTTACGACGACCCTTTATCACTTTTCTCATGGTGATAAGTCCCTAATCTGGCACCTATAGATATCAAAATAGCACCAAACATCTCTCCTGAAGAAAGTAAGGCTTCCTGCCCTAGGTGAATTTACATATATATTTGCAAAACAAATTAACATTAAAAACTGGGAACAGGTCATGTTGTGAAGCAAAGTACTAGCCTGTAACATTATCTTTATTTCTAAGAATAATTTTGGTGCTAATTTAGATGGATGGTTGCAAACCTATGGTTTGTTTGAAAGAATGCTTACCTACCTGGGTAAAATACAAGAAAGTAGAAGTAGTAGGGAGTATCCTATAGATGTGAGGTTAGAGGTGGTAGTCCCAAAGATGCTTTTTTTCACGAGGCAACTGGAATTTCTTGTTTTTATTAAAGATGTTTCACTTCTCATCCAAGAAACTTCTTCAGTTCTGACTAGATGGTGGGGAATGGCAGAGCTGAAAGTTTCTTGGATGAGAAGTGAAACGTCTTCAAGAAAAACAAGGAAGTCCAGTTGCCTCATGAAAAAAACACCGTTGCGACAACCATGACTTGGATGACTGAGAATCTCCATAGACAGTTAGAGGTGGTAGAAGGCAGCATTCTGGTGATCAGTACTTTCTAATTAATTATATCCCCAATAGTCATCATTTTGTCAAAGAACAATCCTCCGCAGCAGCCATTTTATAAGAGCAAGTACACCATGTTTGCAGAAATCCAAATAGGTGGGTGTCTCTTGATATACTACTGCTTTATTTTCTCCACAACACTAATTTAAAAAACAAGTAATTACTCAAGGGTTATATAACTGAAGGAGAATGCAAGTAGTCTCCAACCCTTTCTCTTCTCTGTAAAACTTTTCTAATTTCTTTATTATGCCCTTCCAAGGGCCAGAAAAAGAATAGATACATATCTCTTAAAGAACTATCAAGTCTCAAAAGGTATTAGTAAAGTTAAAAGGAGATAATTTTATGAAACATTTGTTTCTCAAGAAAGAGAAAATCATTTGATAAATATGGACCATCCAAAATGTGTTGCTTGCCCCTTTCTTTAGCCCACAAATAGCATTAAGTTTCTGTAAATTAAATGGAAATATGGTGACGAACAAAAGCTGAACAACAAAAAAACACTCTCTCCCTGAATATTTTCTCACTGGCTAATTGGAATTCTGCAGAGTTGTGCAGTCTTATGACTTTGTATAAAACATTTGTTTAGTACAGCAGAATCTTTGCGTAAACAGTGGTGACCAGCTCAATGTGTTTAATGTGAAGAAATGTGTTTAATGTGAAGAAACACCTCCTCCTCCTTCTTTATTTATGTGCATCATGATCCCAGTGACTCTTATAGATTTCACAACCTTTACCCCACACTGCAATGTACAGCACTGGGGAAAAAGTTTTGATTACGCTTTATTCAATAGAGATGACCAAGTAAGTTTGGAGTATTAAAAAAGAGACCATTTACTTATGTAGCTCTGTCTTCCTTTATTTATGAAATCAGTCAATCTCACTTATTCCATTAAAAAAGGCCTTTCTCCCAATACTAAAGAGCAAATTGTAAAAGCAGAGAACCCTCTAATCTTTCTATTCAATGGTGTCCTACTTATTAATGTATACAGAGTTTTTACTGTTTTCCAAAGAAAATTTATCCCTAAACACCATTCATTTTGACAAAGGGAAAAAAATAAAATAAGCATGAGATGTAAATTCTTTTTTTTAAAGCCTTCTTTACATGCAATTATGTAATAGAATTATTACAATCTAATTCTCAAAGTTGGATGACAATAAAAATACAAGAGAAAAAGTAACAATTGACTTCATATCACTGGAAACTGATCCATGCGCTCTATGTGCCTTAGTAAGTTTTATACTCTCTAAAACATAGATTAATTTTGTCAGCCAAAGAGTTTTCAGACCTAAAATTACGATCACTCTTGTGACCCCCATATGTTGTGTAAACACAGCTTGGAAGAATATTTTGAATAAGCAACAACCAAGGATGAGATGCTCTGATAACAGCTTTGCATTTGAGTTGATCAGCTACAGATGATTTTAAATAAGTGGAGCAAGTTATAATTGCTCCACTTATAATTTAGGACTCTGGATGAGCTATGAATGATGGTAATTCTTAAAAGACTTTGTCTGCCATATTTGTGCAAGTTTTATCTGGCTGTTTCTTAGCCCCCTTTAGATTCCCTTTCTGGAAGACTTGGATTTAAATCTTCCAATCACCAAATAATCAGTTTCCATACAGTATTCTTTCAGCCTGCTCAGTTTTGCTCAAAGATAAGAACTGACAAAGACAAATTTATCTTGTACTTTCAAGATCCAAATTCTCAAAGATTTAGAATTCTTGTCATCACAGAAGAAAAAAAAAAGGAGTACAAAGCCAGGAAATTGGCCCACAGTATATGGAAAAGGAAGGAAAGAAAAAAAACCAGAGCAAAATGGAATAATGATGCCAACAGATCTGAATACTTCTCAGGATCAAATTATATGTTACATTCAACTATGTAAAACATGGATCCTTTTCTCTCCTTTACTTTAAATCCATGTTAGTGACCATATTTTAACTGGGACCACCTAAACAGCGAAGTGACTTCACACTAAATTGTTTTCTTCTTAACATTTTTCTTTCTTTTTCTAAAAAAGGGAGAAAGAAAGAGTGGCATACTAAATAATATAATTAGTACCTCAGCTATTGGCATTCTATTAAAGTAGTTTCAGAATTTTGCCCAGACGTCAAAACCATGTATTTCAAAATAAACCACATAATAAATCCTATCTTTTCAATAATACAAGAAGTTCACTTTTGAGGCTAAAATCTCTAAATAGTACAGATTTAAATTATTTAAACAACTGAAAAAAAATTAACAACTTGAGGAATTTAAATAGCATTAAAGTCTTCAGTTATATACAGTATGCGCTAAAAGTCTTCCTATTTCTAACAGTAAATAGGAAATAGCTCTATTTCCAAACAGTGTAACTTCTGCTTCTTTTCAAAACTTACATAAAAAATGTGACTGAAATGTATTCAATATTGTAGTGCAATTGATGTTGTCAAAGTTCTTTCCCAGTACCTGGAGACTGAGGGTATGGATAGAGAACACATTGCAAATCCATCTTAGCAAGGCTGAGCACCTTCCAGCTTTTGGCCCTTCGGATAGTATCGTTTTTAAAAAAAATGTTTAACCCTTGATGGAGTTTATAGTCCTTCAGACAAAGTGGATGTGCATTCTGGGGTTTCAGCTGCTGCTCAAAAGAGCAAAATGTAGCTGTGGATAGGATGTCTTTGACTGGCTTCATTTTTGTGTGCCAGTTGTGCCCATTCTTAGATTTGGAGGTCTTGTCACTCTTATGTCTTATTCACTTCCTGATTAGATTACTGCAATGTTCTCAACATGGTTCTGCCCAGGGCTTTTTTTCTCATAGAATGCCCAGAACGGAGTTCCGGCACCTTTTTTGGATGGAACCTTGTAGGGTAGGCAAGGCAGGTTGTATGATGTGTGTGAGTTCTGGCACCTTTTTTATTTTTAGAAAAAAAGCACTGGTTCTGCCCTTGAAGAATACTTGGTAGCCTCAACTGGTCCAAAACAGAGCAGCTGCACTAGTTTCCAGCATGCTTTAGGGACAATTCAAAATGCTGATCATCAGCTTTAAAGCCTGTGTGGTCCAGGGTTAGGTTACTTGCAAAACTGCCTATCTCTGAGTGTTTCTACCTCTCCCTCCAGATCCAAAAGGGTGGGCATGCTCCATACCCCCCTCTATAAAACAGGCCAAGGAGACTTGCCTCTCTATTATGACACCTGATCTACAAAACAGCCTCCCTTTGAGATTAAGACCTGACTTTTCCCCTGGGAATTAGACTCAGAATGTTAAAAGAATCCAACAGGTATATCAGTTCTGTGAGTTTGTTACCTATTGTCTTGGTTTTCTTTTGTATTGGATTATTTTTAATTGTGTTTCATTATGGGTTATTTATTTATATGATTGTGAACTGATCAGAGTTATATATTCTGGACTATACACAACTCTGATCAGTTAAGGTAAAACTAGACATTTCACAAAGACTTCGAATATTCTCTAAGGCAGGGGTCTTCAAACTTGGCCCTTTATGACTTGTGGACTTCAACTCCCAGAATTCCTCAGCCAGTGTGTCTGGCTGAGGAATTCTAGGAGTTGAAGTCCACAAGTCATAAAGGGGCCAAGTTTGAAGACCCCTGCTTTAAGGCTATTCTCCAAGCCCAAAAAAATCAGGGCTACATCTGAAATTCAATGGAACTTGATTGCCAGAAGTGAAAAGTGAGTAAAAAAAGCTTAAGTACATCCTTACCCTAAGTATTTTTTCTACTCTTAATCTCCTTTTCATAGTTAGCTATAAAAAGGCTACCAGGGAAATGTTAGGTAGGAACATCTAACTTATTACTCTGGAACTTGCTTGCCTCATATGAGCACTTCTTAGATTATTTATTACAACATTTCTACTTCTCACACTGCAAGGTGATTCAAGGTTTCATTTCAATTATTCTTGCCAATCAACGTGATAAGATTTTTAGCTAAGCTGAAATATTTCTAGAAAGCACTTAACTTATTGTCTAGATGAAATCCAAGTATATTTTACCTAATTTAATAGTTTCTTTTTGCTTTCATCTACTGATTTACATCAGGTACACAAAATCAATCAAAATAACCAAACTTGTACTTTGCGAACACATGCTATTTAGTTCCTACATTGTTCTCCGATGCTCTGAATTTAAGGAGCACTGCACCTGCATCAGGCTGATTGGTTGCATTAATCTCTTTCTGATCTCCTATCTATAAAAGCTGTCTTAGCCAGATCAATTGTTAAAATCAGATTATTTATTGTGGCTTCATCAGCAGCACATTTAATTATCAAATCCATACAGAGTCTATCAAAGAGATTTTTGCTGCATGCAGGAATCCAAATTCCAGATATCTGTCACAGATTATCAAGAGAATTATGTCAGTATAAACAGAAGAAGCCAGAGAAATCATACAATTAAATCAAGCATGCACGGTCATCAATTTACTATATAATACCAATTCAATTCATCATGAAGGTTAGCAAGAGCTTTCCATATGCTTGATATACACTGAGAGAAGAGTTGTTGGCTCAATCTCTTCATAACAGCACACAAAGTAGAATGCGGCATTGCAGTAAGTTTCAAAATAAAATGAATTCAGCAGTGTATCTTAATTTTACACTACAATGTTCTTTCTCCTACTTTATAAGTTTGTCTATTTGTAATTTATGTGTACAATTATTATAGGGATTTGTTAATTCAGCAGAGGAAACCTGTAGGAGTTTTTGAGATTATTAAATTACAACTCGTGGAATCCCTCAACCATAAAATATTAACCAATCCAGGTACATAAATCAATCATATGTATCTGGTGGTTCATATGGTTTTGATGATATAATAGTATACACAATTATGACTGGGAGCCACAGGTAAAAATATAATTATCCTGAAATTTTCCAAACAAAAAAGCTGAATTATTGCTAAATACAAGATAATCTTATTTTTGTGTTAATTTGCAAAGCACATTTTCTTTACAAGTTTCATCTTGTATTCCCATTGTGCCCATTCTTGGGTAGAAGATTGCAAGTGCCTTCAGACAGTCACTCAGGCCTTGGTCATAACTTGATTGAAATACTGTAATGTGCTCTACACATAGATGCTCTTGAAGATCACTTGGAAGCTACAGCTGGTCCAGAGTGCAATAGTGAGAGCCATAATGGACACATTATGTATGTGCAGTATCCCTGTTGCTTTGAAGCTACACTGATCAGCAGCTGGCTTCCAGGTACAATTCAAGGTGTTGGTTATCACCTCTAAAGCCCTGAATGGCATACACTCTGCTTATTTGGGAAACTAACCAAAGAGAGATGCAACCTAGAACTAAGGAGAAACTTCCTGACAGTTAGAACAATTAATCAGTGGAACAACCTGCCTCCAGAAGCTGTGAATGCTCCAACACTGGAAGTCTTTAAGAAGAGATTGGACATCCATTTGTCTGAAATGATATAGTGTTTCCTGCCTGGGCAGGGGGTTGGACTAGATGACCTCCAAGGTCCCTTCCACTTTATTATTTTTATTTTTATTTTTATTTTTATTATTATTATTATTGTTGTTGTTGTTGTTGATCATTGGTCAGCCAGATCTTCAGACTGGATTTGGCATTTTGTCTACCTATCGAGTCCTTACCAAGGACCTGGGATAGGCAGATGTGGATGTTTGATGTTATTACAGATATCGTCGCAGGATGGAAGCGGTTCCTAGTAAGGCTGCCTTTCCTAGTTGTTGTTGTTGTTATTACTATTATTATTATTGTATCTGGTGAGGTAAAGAGTGGGCATGTTAATTAAGCAGTGCCATCTTGTGGGATCTAAAAAGCATTTCCTTTTTGGTGTTGACTTCAGGTGTTTTCCAGATTCCTCATTCCCTGGATGGCAGTAGAGTCCTTTGGCTGTTCCCCTCCTCCCCCCCGTTTGACGTTATGGGGTTATGGGGTCAGTTATTTGTTGCTGATGATGTACTTTTAGCCACCTAGAGTCACAAGAATCAGGTGCTTTGAAATTGAAATGATAATAAATACCTTTTCGTGTATTTCCTGAGTAGATTGAGCATCACAGAATGCAACAGTAGCCAAGTCCTTCAAAATAGGCATCTCCACTGTACAATCCCTTCCATCTAGCAAAGCCACCAATGGACGAGGATGCAAAGGGCCATTCATTATTTGTGGACGTATACCTGGAATCAAATGAGCATAAATGTCAAAAAAAAACAACTAGCCTACTCATGTAAACAGAAAACTTCATCTGAATCTGTACCAAAATGCCTTGGCTTTATAATGGTAAACTGATGCTGCTTAATGCAGGAATTTATAGATTATCTAACAGTTTAATTGAAATTGTAATTCAGGGTTTATAGCACACAGAGAAGAAGCCCCAATGTGTTCAATAAAGTTTGCCCCTGGAAATTTATGTACAGAGCTGTACTTTTAAGATGATTAGGAGGACTCTTTCATTATATTCCCATTTAGAACATCTGGGTTAGCTTCAAAAAAGATGGCACAAGCACTCCTAGCTTATTCACAGGAGCCTCAGATCTACTTCTCTGCACGCAAGGAATAACCCATCCTAATAGATGCAAAGTGGAAGAACAGAGATTATGTTCTGGCTTGGAAGATGGTTCTATCAAGTAATTATCCTTTGACATTAGTACTAGATGGAGCCAGTACCACTTTTAAGCAATAAAGATAGAGACCACCAATTGATTGTCTCACTTGTTCCAAGTTACTTTGGGTGGAATCAATTTTCTCTAAAGTCAACTTGTTAATGGAAACCCATTTTAGAAAAGGCCAGTCTAGAGCACTTCTATTTGGGAAATATAGAAAAGTCAATATGGGAAGAGATTCTGCTGTTATATTAGAACTCACCCTAATCCCTCCAGGAACCTTGTATATCTTTATAGCATACACAACTTAGGAGGATGAGTCCCTTTGAACTGCGAGATGGGTAGCAAATAAAATTTGATGACAATAATAATACAAATCATCCTCCTCAGTTGTCTATGCTATAAAGATATACGAACTCTCGTCAGTCTATTCTAATTTTAAGATCCTCCCATTGTTACCAAGATGTGCTGCAATCTATTTTTGTTGTTGTTAGTTCAGATATACATTTGTTCTAGCTGCCCAGAGATGGGTGGCTTATGAGATGGGTGGCTCTTGCTTGTGAGATAGGTGGCTCTATAAATTACATAAATAAATAATAAAGATGGCAAACATTTGTGCAGCGGTCTATTCAGTTAGTAAAGAAAAAAAAAGAAAAACCTACTGCGTGTCTGATATAAATGTGTGTTGTCATTTCTGATTTGAGGTTGTTTTATGCTAATAATCTAGTGTGTATACATGCATTATATGGTCACTAACCAAAATAGGGTGATATTGATTGTAATGATGTTGTTAACTGGATCATTGTCTGATTTGATATAACAATGATAATCTAAAGTCAGGGTATAAACACACACTGGCATTGTTTCCTGAAGCTTTTACAACAAATACTTTGGTACTGCTTGCCATAGAGAAAATAGTAGGGAGATTCAGAATTACTCAATGATTATGGCATGGTGATAGGGAGCACAATGTTCATTTGTGAAATAGTTGTATGTTGCCTGATCTTTTTTCTTTGTACTGGACTGTTTTAACTTAGGTTATGGGATTCTTTCTGTATTTATTCTGTATGTGTTTGTAATTTGGTTGTTAGTTGGTCAAGTTAGGTATTTCAGACGGAGCCCATTATTTTTTTTTAAATAAATACATATGTTGAAATAGTGAATTAGGCATCAAAACTACAACACTAAAAGCAATAAATCAACTCTACCTGGATGAGTGTTTGTACAGGGCTTCCATAAATATCTATTAGAACACTGTAGAATTTTTCTTGGCTAAATATTGCACCTTGGAGATTAACGTTTCTCAATATAATGCCCTTCATTTTTATTAGGACTATAACTCCCTACTGGGCTGAACAATAGTGAAATCTATTACTGAGATAACATTAATAAAAGTTATACTGAGCACAGTAATACTGATATCCTTCATGGAATCTATTGAGGATACTTCAATTTGGAATCTTGCCTAAATGCCCCTTCTACATCTAGCCATTTATTTCTCTCTCTCTCTCTCTGTCTCTCCCTCTCCCTCTCCCTCTCTCCGTCCCTCCCTCACACACTACCAGCAATATCTGACTCAAGGCCACTGTTCAATCATAAGACATACCAGTGATTACTTCAAAATTGTTTCTAAGGTCTGAAAGAAACAATTACTTCAAACTATCTCCCTTTTAAGGCAGGAAAATTCTAGAACAGTGGTTCTCAACCTTTTTAATGCCGCGACCCCAACCGGTCGTAAGTCGAAGATTAAACCGATCGTAAGTCGAGGACTAAACCGGTCGTAAATCGAGGACTACCCAACCGGTCGTAAGTCGAGGATTTCCCTGCCCGGGAGCGCCACGCATGCGTGGTTCCGCCCCCTGCGCCGGCCGAGGCGTAGCTGGCAAGCGGCAGAGACGGAGCAGGCCNACCACCAGCTGGCCCAGCCCAAGGGAGGTAAGGCACCCGCTGAAAAAGGGGAAAAAATGGCGGACAAAAAAAATGGCGGACAGCCTTGCTTGGCGACCCCCATGAAATGGTCGATCGACCCCAAATGGGGTCCCGACCCACAGGTTGAGAACCACTGTTCTAGAATATTACAAACATGTCCCTTAAGATTATTGCTTTGATTTACTTTATTGTTCAGCACTAAAAACAAAAGACAATGAAAACATTTGTGGATACAATCCATGTTCATAAGGAAGGGCTGGAGCTGTGACAGTTAATCATACAGAACAAAATCAAGAAAAAAATCTATTCTAATTTCCTCTATTGTTAAACCAAATTATTACATTTATCAGTATATGCTGTCTATATTACTGACCAAAGTGTGACTCTCTTAAAACTGGAATAAAATTTCCACTTTTCCTCACCATTGGCCATATTAGCTAGGAATAATGGGAATAATACTAACTGCAAGGCTACGCATTATCCTGTATTAGAGTTAGATCAATTCATAAAAGGGCCTGAGGGAGCAAGTGTTTAGAGATGAAACAGCATGATATCTCCAGAATTTCCATGTTCTTCATCCAGCTCCCTGCCCAACAATCTTAATATTTTCAATGTTCTTTTATTTATATATTATTTATCTATATATTCTTTCAAAGGATCATTTTTATTTATAAGAATGACCTTGCGTTAACACGGCCTCACAGTTTGGGGCATAAAAAGGCAAGCCCAGAGCTTGTTTGAAGAAAGAGCAAGAGAAAGAAAAGTTAAACTATGACGGTAGATAGTACCCTAAGGCAGAGTTCCCTAACCATTCTGGGTTGGGGGCCCAGAGCGGGGGGGGGAGGGGAAGAGAGGATGATTTTGTGGGAGGAGAAGGCACATGTGAGTGTGCATGTGAGCGCCTGTGACGTTTGCAGCGACACTTGTGCGAGTTGGGCCGCAAGTGCCTGTAATGAGCTTGCATGAGTGGGGCTGTAAGTACCTGCAACGAGGCTCACGCGAGTGGGGCCGCAAGTGTTCCCAATGAGGCTTGGACAAGTGGGACCATGAGCGCATACCAGCTGGCCACTCACAGGGCCCAGTGCAATTAGGCTGCAGCCCACAGGTTGGGGACCACTGCTCTAAGCGGTAGGAGTTGACGACAGTGTTAAGCAAATTTGTTAGTCTACATTCTGTAAATGGGTTTTGTGACTAGCCACTCCTTCAGAGTATCCTTTTTGAGAAGACACCCAGAACATGCTTCCCTCCCAATTTAAATGCATCTAGCAGTTCACAAATATTGTTTATGCTAACGTTACGACTGAAATTATTAGTGGATACTTGAGATAGGCCCCTCAGCATCATACTATACATGTAAATAAAATCTAAACTCTATTAGGAGTCAGTTTGGGTAGTGGTTGAAGTACCAGGCTACAAACCAGGAAGCCGTAAGTCCCATTTTAGGCACGAAGCCACCTTGGTCAGTAACTTTCTCAGCCCTAGGAAGAAGGCAATGGTAAACTTCTTCCGAAAAAACTTGCCAAGAAAAGTGCAGGGAATTGTCCAGGCAGTCGCTAAGAGTCAACGTTGGTTTGAAGACACCCCCTCCTAAAACAACCACCATTAGATCCAGACAAAAGGGAAATTACAAAGGAAAAAAACAATTAATTTCATGCAAAATTAGGAAAATATTACAAGTTGTCTATTTTATTATGCATTATAGAGCATGCTGATTTTGTAGATTTAGCATTTTGTGAAATTTTGGCCAACAGTCTGTTTATTTAGTTAGCTCTTTAGGGGTTATGAAATCAATATGTCAACCCAGATAACTTTTCAGATCAATTTTGTAAAAAATGTAGCTTGCATGCAGAATGTGTCCTACATTCAGATTCAGATTCTGAGAACTAACTGAACTTTGCATTCCTAGGCACCCTAAGTACCTCCCAGCTCTAGTGGCTAAGATGAGTTATTTATTTAATCGAATTTATATCTGCTGCAATCAAAAGAACTCTTGGTAATCAGCAATGAGTATAAAACAAAAGCAATATCTACCACAACATGCTTGGTACGTATATAACCAATAAAACCACAATAATCACAGTAACTTATTCATAAACAATCAAAAACATCCTATCACTCACTATAATTTTTTTGAAACAGTTATGTTTTTAAAAATTTCCAGAAGGTTAACAATGTAGGGGCAAACTGATTTACAAAGATATTCAAAAGTGTTTTTGATTTTGACAACTGCCTACTTAGCATGATACCTTTATTTTTTGTCTATGGAGATTCTCAATCATCCAGGTCATGGTTGTCCCAAAGGTGCTTTCAAAAGGCAACTTTTACAAGCACCTTTGGTACTTTATTTTTTATATTTATTTAATTTTATTGTGTATGTTTTATACAATATTGTATACTGTAAATCTCCCAGAGATCTTCAGCTTTTGGGTGGTTTAAAAATGTTTAACTAAAAAACAAGATTCACAACTCATTTAACTCTTGCCTATATATTTAATGGAACTGCCCCAATGAATTGTACTTTAAAGAAAAAGCTAAATAAAATATTTGAAATTGGATACCTTGTTCCTATGCTTTCATACTTTTGTTTACAACAAAATAATGCATCTTCCGGCATTTCATCTACAATACAGGTAGTTTTTGACTTC